AAAACCTAGACACTACATTCAACCTACCCAGTAGTGATCAAAATCATGCTCGCCTTCTGTATTCCGTAGATCAGCGTTGCCTATTTCAACTGTTCTAACGCCCAAATAAAAGTGAGCGGTGCAGGCTGGAGGTAATTGGAGGTAGCCGGGCTCATGCACTGTACATGTTGAACCTGTCAGGAGCCGGAGAGCTGGAGACCAAATGAAGACGGATATGGCAGCCCCGTGATCAAAGCAGCAGCAGCAGGAGCAGCAGCAGCAGTAGCAGCCAGGTCTCTCAAAGAAAAAAAAAAGAAAAGCTGCCTATATTTTGATGAAGCTCCTTGCTCTTGATTTCCTCCAGTCACATCATTACCGTAGCGTTCAACTGGCCCTGAAACAATCGATGTGAGGTGATCGCTCTGCGCTCTCGGGAGGAAGACAGGTGAATAGGAGAATGGTTGAATGATTAGGCCAATCCAGGAGACGCTACTGCTGATATATGGCCTTATAATAAAACGAAATGTAGCGTTTAATCATCTGTCTGTGAACGTTTGTCAAATTATCCTTTCCTGGCTTCGACTTTTTGTATATCGGCACCAAAGCGTTGAGTTTACGTTTTAAAGAGGGTGTGTTTTATTTCTATGGGGTATTAACTGCTAACACATAACATATTTAGATCGCTGTGTTGACGCTCTAAGTACCACGTCACTTTTCTCTCTATGCTAAGTCAATCCACCTTCAGAACGCTATCATGACACAATCGCTAATGAAACTACTGCACATCGAATCTGGTTTCTTGAGTTATTGTGTACAGTTTTGTATCTTGTTTTTGTATATTTATGGAGAATTGTCACATGGGAGCATAGGTGATGTAGGCTTGTGGGTGGAGCCTTGGACGGAATCTCACAGATAAACCATAAGAAGGGTTGGAATAGTGACCGGGAGAGATCGCTTACTATATTTCTCGGACTGTAAGTCGCTCCGGAGTATAAGCCAGTATAAACTAAAAAATGCAGAATGAAGAAGAAAAAACATATATAAGTCGCACCAGACTATAAGTTGCACATTTTGGGGGAAATTTGGTTTATAAAATCAGAGACCAGTAACCAACATTTCAGCTTGAAAGGCAAGTTATAGTAACAACAAACAGAATAGATAACAACAGGCTGAAGAGGCGTCTAGTATGTTAACGTAAAATGACGCATACGCATATGAACAGTTATTCAGATAAGTACAGTATAAACAACAGAAAATAAGTTTACCACTCTCTCCATCTCACTCCAAATCACTAAATCCATTGAATTCTTCATTCTCAGGTGTCATTTCTGAGCAACTACGCGACCTCCGGAAGTAAACCATAGATCCATGATGTAAACGGAGCGCCACTTCCTCTAGCGATTCTGAATCCCGACAGGATGGTTTGGGTTGTCACTGAAGTCCAGGCTTTGTTGATCCATCCAGTGACTTCCAGGAAAGCAGCATGGTGCACTTTCCTGGTTGCCGTGAAGCTGTGTTCTCCATCCCTGCTTTCCAGCCAGTCTCTCACACGTTTCTTGCTCACTCCAAACTTTCTTTCTGCTGCTCGATTACTGTTTTCAGCTGAATATTTCACTACTTGCAGCAGGACAGCGTCTTTTTCTGGCGCAGACGTGCACAGTAGAGCACGAAGTGACAGCGGTACAGGAGTAGCAGATACTGGCACACAAACCTAGAGCTCCCTCTCGCGGCTGTCAGTGTGAAAATTTCAATATATAAGTTGCACCGGAGTATAAGTCGCAGAATCACCCAAACCATGAAAAAAAGTGCGACTTATAGTCCGAAAAATATGGTAATTACTCAAACATGCATGGATGACACATAAAACATGTTTTTGATTAGGGAACAATGTTTTAACACGGTAAAAAGCTCAAAAGTGTATTGATTTTGCCTAATATTCCAACTTTAATTTTAATTTTTTTTTAACTGAGTGACTAGATCATAAATTATTTTGACGGGTTATTCTACGTCTTCTCTACGTATCTGTGGAAGAGCATGTCCCCCCTCCACCCAGAGGAGGGGACCATGACCGCATACTTAAAGGAAGGAAAACATTTTGGATTCACACTCTTCAAACTTTAGCGCCAAAAGGACTCAATGATGAGTTTAATCTTAGCATCTTTTTGTAAGCATTTGTCTCTCATTTTGGGTGGGCTGTATATGGGCTACAATTTTAAGATCCATTGTATATATATATATATATATATATATATATATATATATATATATATATATATATATATATATATATATATAGACGTGTATATGGCACGACAGCATTATTTTATAGTTTACACTATGTCTATTATTATTATTATTATTATTATTATTATTACACTATATGGTGATTGTCTTTGTTCTGTTAATTATGATGTTTTGTTACACTGTTTCTTTATGACCTGTCACCCTTGGGTGCTTGCCACACCCTATTTAAGATAGCCACCTGAGCTCTCATTCGGTTTGCCTGACAAAGGCCTAGTGCCGAAAGGTTGCATGGTTTGTCCAAATAAATCTCACAATTTGAAAGCAAGTCGTGTGCGGGATTTTTGTCCATGTTCTTTGACGGGTTATTAAAAGATTTTGACAGAAAACTGAGGCTTTTAAGTTCATTCAAGTGAAAACATGCCTGATTAATTTATACTACAAATTCTAGATTTTATCCAGATGACAACTTTTCTGAGAACAAAACACTCTTGGATGAATAACGGATTAAACAATGGATTACATCAACATCTCTTAATGACTATTTACCACCAGTTCTTCTGTGCCAACTGAGAAGGAGTTGAAATGTGGGCTAGTTTTTGTTTAATGTGTATTGATACTTTTCAGCGACATCACGCTGGGGGTGTTCTACATTGGTCTGTGTCTGATGGGATGTTCAGTGGTTACCACGGTGACACAATGCTCACACAGCAAACACTGTCAAAAAGTGTTCAGATTATCAAAAAACTCAAGAAATAAAACAACAGGAATTTAAACAAGACATTTTCAGGAGCCTGTGATCAATACGAGCGTTCTGTTTAGGTGTTTGATTTTCAACAAAAAGGTGCGAGTGACTAACTGAAAAACTGAGTGTTATGTTATTTAAGAGGGACTTGTTTAACAGCACAAACAGCTGTTGTAGTTCCAGCTAACTCATCTCTTTCTAGTCAGATTGTGTTGAAATAAAGCTCAGATTAAAGTCTAACTTGAGTAACAGGTTTTAACAGAGCAGTGCCTACAGTTGGCTTCACACCACCAGGAAATGTTGATGACATCACCTGCAAAGTATCAAGAGAACCAATAATTACAGAGATATTATTAACCAGTCTTCACACCAATACCGAACCACAAACAAGATCAAAACAATGCAATATACGTAACCGGGACACCTCAAGGTTGTGTCCTGTCTCCCTTATTATTCATCCTCTACACTGCTGACTGCGAGCCCATCCAATCCAACTGTCAAAAGGTGAAGTTTGCAGACAGTTCTGTACTTGCATCCCTGCTCACAGTCCCATCATACCAGCACAGGTCAGGTCTCACTGAGTTTGTTGAGTGGTGTGACTGGTCAAATCTCCAGCTGAATGTCAAAGGCTACGTTCAGACTGCAGCCTGAAGTGACCCAAATTAGATTTTTTTGCCACTATGCGACCTGTACCTGATCGTTTAATGATTTTTTCAAATGCGACCCAGAATATGTGCTCCTAAAACCGATACATATCTGACATTTTCACATGTGATTTCAGTCTGAATGGCCAGGTCGCATTCATTCACACTACCTACACCTCAGGTATGGAGTCTAGTTATTGGAGGGAAAGCGAGGTTAGTGAGTTAATTAATATTTGGGGGGATTGTTGTACTGGAGTGGTCTTGGAGGGAAACAGGCAGGTTTTGAAATTATTGCCAAAGAAATGGCCGAGCGCGGCTACAGGCGTCCTGGCTCCAATGTCAATGAAAAATAAAGAGCATGGGAGCCAAATACAAAGAGGCTAAAGACTCAAACAAATGAAGCAGCCGTGGACATCTAACTTGTCCATTTTACGAATAACTGGACCATATTTTTGGAGACAAGCCCAGCGTTCAGGCGACTTCACACTGAGCATGCTCGCTTCGTGTGGCGTCGTTGTCCTCCAATGCACATGTGAGACACTTTTGAGGCGTTTAATGTTTACACTGGAGATCACATACAAGTCAGATTTAATTGGAAATGTGAAGGACCTCAAAAAAAATCGGATTTCACAAGAGAATCTGAACAGAGCATTAAACCCTGCAGACTCAACATAGCCAAAAAGACCATTTTAAGAGACAATTACTACTTTTTCCAGTGCGCAAAAACGTCTGGATGAAGACAAAATAACAGCTATCCGTTACCCTGTACACAGTGAGAGCACAAGCAACTAGGGAACAGGTTTCTGCTCATCATCAGCTGAAATTTGCTTCACGAGCAAAAACATCAACAAAGGCAGTATCATTAAAAGGGCCCATATTACACAATTTTCTGGTCTATGTTATAATGTTGTTTCCTCATCACAAACATACCTGGAACTGTGTTTCATTCACACATGTTTAACACACAAATCTTGCATATTTAGTCTTAGTTCTTCTCTCAAACATAAAACACTCTGTTCTACCTTGTGACATCATGTGGTAATACAGAAAGTTCTCCACTGTGTTTTAAACTCCAAATACTTTCAATAGAATCATTTGGATGATTTCAGGACTGGAATTGATCATCTCCACTCAGCTAAAGATAAACGGTATCTGTTTACTTGAAAACTACCGCTTCATGACATCACAAGGTGTAATAATAAAGGGTTACTCAAACACATGTGACAAAAACACAACTCCAGGTATGTCTTTGATGAAGCAAAAACATTCTAACATGGCTTAAAGCTCCCAAGAGTCAATTTTGTGCAAGATAAGACCTTTGAGAATGTTACAACATCACAAAACCTGAACCTATGATGCGCTATACTGCTGTGCCTCACTATCTGTCTTACCCTCTTTGAGCTGGAGCAGAACAGTGGGGTCGTGGGGGTCACTGCAGAAGTAGCCACAGCCCTCAGAGTCCCAGAAGAGAGCGTCCTGTCTCAGCTGGAGCTCCTCCGCCCACTGCAGCCACTCAGTCTGGAAGGTAGCCTCATACAGGTCCAACAGCCCGGAGATCACAAACGCGTAGTCGTCCAGGAAGCCCACGATGGGAGGAGAACTGAGAGAAAAGAAATGCTTCATAAATAAGACTATAAATAATTGGTATTTTAGTCAGTGATTATATTTTAGCTTCCCTACTTCCTGTTCAATTTTTATGTTTTAATGTTTCCCTAGAATTAAAGGTGAAGTGTCCGTCAAATGCTTTTTGTCATGGAGTGGAATGTTTCACAGTGTGGCATCTACACAGAGACCAAATCAGACAAATTTACAGGTCAGATCTGTGGAGAGGTGACCCCGCTCACCGTGAGAATGCCCATTTTTCTGGAATTTTTGAGCACTAAAACCATTTGTAATTGAACAAATGTAAGGTAGAGCTGTTTAATGTCATACTATGGAACATTCCAGACAGAGCAGTGACATATCCATAGAAACAACAAGGTGGATGTGTAACCAAAGTTGCACAGTGAACCTTTAATAAATCCCCCAAGAACAAACAGTGGACATGGAGTTTTCGGTGGAGGTCAGTGACATGTTGAACACTTTACAAATGAGATGAAAAATTCCTAGGAGAACATTAAGTTTATAAAGGCAATGCTGATGCTAAATTTGAAGCATAATAAGTAAGGCCATAAACTGAAGTTATTTACATATAAAATACCATTGAATAGTCTTTACATTTTTGGTTGTTTATTTTATATTTAATGGTTTTATAAAAGTTAGAATTAACTTTGAGACACATGGAAGAATAATAAGATATGGAAGGTGAACCAAAGATGGCACTGTGTTGTTTTCAGTGGCCTGTACTCACTGACGCAAAATCCCACAATATATTTTTTCATCCGCATTATTTCCTCATTGTGAAAGCTGTGGATGATCTGTCACCTGAAAACGGGCAATATGAATTCCCAAAAAATGCATTGTGCTGGAAGAATTGTTTCTGGGCCGGGAGCTCCTGGGAGTTGCAGTACATGGAGTGACCACTACTCATTCTCAACCTAGGATAGAGGTGGAGTGTCTTATACAGCTCTTATAGCTTGTTTCTCGTGAACAAGGTCCTGATTCTAGTGCAGTTCTTCTCAATTATTTTGTCACGCCCTCAGTAGGAAGAAGAAAACATTTCCCCCCACTCAACAGAACCACTACCAAACGTTTTAGTTGCGTCTCCAAAGTGACTTCCGGGACACAAGCAGCATGTGTCCGTCCGTATTCCACGCTGAGCTCACCTGCGTCATGAGGCAATCCGCTCCCGTGTCCTCCTCGTCTTTAAAGATGATGTCCGTGTTCAAGTGCGGCAGAATGAGCTCCTCTGTTATTTGGTACACCACCTTATATGATACTGCCAGTGCTTGCTGGTTTACTGAAGCTGCATTCACAAAGCAGGATGATTGTTGACAATATTCGGCAAGTGTCTTAGCAGCGTGATTGGGGTGTAATGACCGACGCCGTAATTTATTTGCCTTCATGCAGTCCACTGGCAACATTTTTAGACAAAGTAAACACAGCGGTCTTTCCTCGTTTCCCACGGTCGTCACAGTGAAGACGAGTGCTACAAATGCTTTATATACAGTTTGCTCTCTGCACTTTATATATCCTGCTTTGTGCTGTGTGTGCATTTGCTCGGTGAAAAAAACCCGACACTATAGCGCTAATACTCACCACGCACACTCTGACAATGAGAGCGTCACTGCCAACTACTGTAGTGGATGTGCAATTACACTTTATTCTAGTACGACAAATAAAAGACATTCCCAGAGGTCAAATTACAATTATATTCATATTTATAGTCGTATTTGTTGTAACTAAATGTATTTGCTCTTGCTCTTTTCTCTCTGTTCTGTTGTTGTAAATGTGCAATACAGTTTTTGTACATTGGCCTAGAGCCCCCTCCAGTGGTTTCGTAGCCGTATTGTTGCAATTTGGTAAAACATGTAAGGAAAATCCAAGTTGTTCGCATGTCAAGCTCGTACTACCCTCAAATGATCGTTGCCACTGAAGTTTAGAAGACCATTTGTCTGTAAGAAGTGATATGTGGAAATATACATTTGTCTCAGTTTTATGGTTGATAAAATAAAACAGTGGTTGAATGTCATTCTTCAAAAAAAATCAATCAAAAAGTACCAAAGTCTATTTAGTGAAGCTCTGTTATCTCACACTCTAGCCTTGATTCTCTAATTTCTCCTTAAATTGGCCGGGATAATACCTGTTGTGAATATAAATGATGGTTTTACAAAAATCAAGAAGCAATTTGTGAAGAAAAGTTGAAAAATACTGCATGTTGAAAATGAAAACAAGTAGAGAGTTCTTTTTTCGAGAGTTCCTGTAGGGCAGTTTTGTGTGATGTCATGTAGTACTTGAAATTTCAGAGGTCACTGAAGGCAGCAAACACTTAGACTGAGGTGTTTCTGAACGATATTAAACCACCATATAGTGTTTCCAAACATGATTTCAACAACAATGAAAACCTAAAAAAATTGCCAAGCTTTTTAGTCAAATTTAAATATATAGTAGTGGTCTTAATTGTGTTTTAGTCAAATGAGTCCAACATGTCACAGGCACTTTAAATAAAGGTTTTGATAATATTTTCAGAATCCATGTTGACCCCCTGATCTTGAGTGTCACGAGTCTGATGGTGACAGGCAGTCTGATAGTGTAGTGTTTGGGGACTTTTGTGGACGTACACAAGGGGACAGGGTCACAGAGGTGGAGAGGGTCTGAGGACACATGATAAGACGGTGTAAGCCAATGAGAGGGCTGAACCGATGTGGACAGGAATGAGTCATGCGTCTAAAGGAGACAGAAGATGACAGTGGAGCCTCTGTGCACCTGAGATGTGGGACAAGTCTGGAACTGAGCAAAAGACAAGTTCAGATTAGATTAGAAGGTCATTTGGATTTATGTACGTTTTTAGGTGGTGTGTATGTCCCTTCCTTTGGCTGAAATGTTTGAAAGAATGACATTAAACTTGCATTTATTACATTCTAGTTAATTTATCACTCAAAAATATGTGTTCTTATTGCATGTGGTGGTGCTGGCCCACAGACCTGACTTGCTACTTTGGAGATAGTCAAATAACACGTCATAGCACTCATGGTGCATTGATGTGAATGAGGGCCTCTTTTTCATTATGCTTATAGATAACAAATTTATATTTGATAGCAATATTTGGATTTACACTAAAACGAATCCGCGTATCACCGTATCAGTGTATCGGAAACGATCTGCGTCCAGACACGTCGTTTCTGTGTTCGCAATCAAAACGTTCCCTGTCCACACAGTAATGCAAAACCAGCGCTGAAACGCTTGTCACGTGATAGGCTGGTGTCACGTCGTCACAACATCCCGACATCACGTGAGCAGTAAAACAAGGAAGTCTGAAGTTGCAGCAGCTGATTTTGAGCCAAGGGAGATGGTGAGTGTAAAAACGGCCTTTTCATGGACCGACGACGAGGTTCAGTTACTTAGCGTAACACTAGATTTTAAGATGAGCACGGTGGCTCAAAGTGAGGACTGACTCGTTTCTGTGTCTGCAGTCCTTCTCTATCCACATAACTTTGAAGATATTTGTTTATGTTTTACAGAAACTAAACTTAAAACCGCATGACTAATTTGCATAAACTAAGTGCTCAAAAAAAAAAACTGCTCGCTAGTGTGCGCTGATGCAGTTCAGTTTCTGTTGGACTAAAGGACATGACTCAGTGGAATATATGGGTTCTTTCTGTAACAGAGGGGTGTTCAGCTAATGGTGAGTCTGTTCTGTTCTTCTATTGCATTGGAGATAGTTCAAATTAAACTTTTCAGAGTTTATACAGATTATATGTGTATGATCATACGCATAGACCATATATATATGAATGGACATATATTCTAGCTTCTTAGGGTTTTGGTGCTGAAATAGCTACTTCGTGGTGCATAGAACTACTATCAGTGTATCAGTGTTTTCAGGCGTCCACACAGTGTCAGATCAGATCTGTACTCAGATGAATTCGTGGGAGCTGGCGGCACCAGATCATTCCATCTCTGGAGCCGTTTTCAATCAGATTAGTGTGGACGAACACTGCATCCACAACGAAAACAATTTGAATACAGAGTAGTGTGGACGGGGCCATAGTTGTTCATTTATAGATAAAAAATTATAAACTGATATTTGAAATGCAGGATAAATTGTTATATGAACCTTGTATTTCTATGTAAAGAATTTATACATAAAATTGACTTTTTTGAGTTTTCAATTTTGAAATTCACAGTTTTGTAACATAACAGACAAAGTTTGGGGGGTCTACTGGGCTGTTTTCAACTCCATGAATCTAAATCTGAGCTTTGCCGCTGTCAAATTACTGTAACGATTAACAGATTAATTATATAATATTGTTTTTCTTTTTCTTTTTTCCTTTTCATACAATGCACACTGCAAAAAACAAACAGCACCATCTTTATAACAAAGGGTAAAATGAGATAAGAAGTTGCATATGTTTTATGAATTATTTCCAAAAACACACAGAGTCTGGGCAGGTCCAAAATAAGTGAGAGGTGGTTTCATTTTTCAGTTTGTGTCCATTGTCCTTCTAAGATGATTGTTTAGCAGATAACAGTGATGTAGAAGTTTGTAGCAGATTTCCCTTAGCTTGTTGGTGATGACATATTTGTGAGGTCATGTCCGTACATTTTTCCATGGAATATTACATGGTCATATGCTGCTCAGAGCGCAAGAGTATGGCTCCGTTTGGGAGGTGCACTTGTGGTGACAGTCGCTCTTTTTCTGCGGTAACTCATTATAAGGCAAGTTTAATTGAAGATGAAGCCAAATAAGTTCCTTTTGAAAAGTTTTTCAAAGTTTGGTGCACAGCGTTTCCACACAAGCCTGCTCAAGCCGACATCTTCGGGTGCTGGCGTTGTCCTGCCGTTTTGCCAGTTTAAGTTCCTGGCACCACTAATGACATCACTCTGTTGCAGCCAATGAAATAGCGGCATGGGTTACCCTGAACGTCTAATAAACAAAAGGAAAACTAAAATGTGTTAAATTAATAGTACTGAGTTTGGAAAAATGTCAGAATAAATTTA